AGACTGGTTAACCCTCTCATGGCCACATAGCAGCCTGGCCCAGTTAGCGAGACGTTTGCTCAGATATTCATACATTCAGCTAATCAGATGTTTAGATACTGGGAGTCTGGTGTTTTTACTCCTCTCCGCACTGATCCGCACTGAACCAGGGGTTCGTGGAGGGCTGGAAGCCAGCGGTCCGTTACTCGGGGCGGGTTTTGGCGCGGTTCGGTGTCGGTTAGCCATTAGCATGCGCATCTGCTCACACGCGCCCAAACAGCGACTCTGTTCCGGGTTTAACTGCGACACGGGGCGGCTGGGACTCACCTGAGCTCCGGCTCATGCGCTTCTCCCATCCAGACGGCAGCTTCTCGTCGTCGGACATGATTTCAGAGTGATATCGGTTCGGCTCGGTTCTGGTGTGATGTTCCGCCACCGCTCCTGCTGCAGTGACCGGACTGACCGACAGAGGGCGACCTGCGGGTCCGAGAGCCGAGCCGAGGCGAGCCGATAGGGCGCTTTTGTCTATTCAGAAACATCAGAAATAATATTTGTCCGTTATTTCACAGAAACTATGTTTAAAATACAAACCTCGTAGCACGTCTTATTATTCTGTATACCGTTATTTAAATAATAAAAAGTCCATGTGTAGTAATCAAAACAGGATGTGATTGGTTGAGAATAGTAACAGATATCACGTGACAAATCGGGTCGACGACAGGAAACGTAAAAAAAGGTACAAAAAGTATTTGTTAAAAAAATACAATAAAAATAATATTCACAGCTGTTTTATAGATAGAAGAGGCTTTATTAATGTAACTGTCGGCGTTTACAACGTTTCAAAATATAAAAAATGGCAATCATTAAATTCAGATATCATCTAAATCAATCAAAAGTGATTAAAGCTGTTTTCAACATAATAATACTAAAGGTTTTTTGAGCAGCAAATCAGAATATTAGAATGATTTCTGAAGGATCGTGTGACTGGAGTAATGTTGCTAAAATGTAGCTTTAAAATCGCAGGAATAAATTACATTTTAAGATATATTCAAATAGAAAACAGTTATTTTAAATAGTACAATATTTCACCGTTTTTGCTGTATGTTGGATCAAATAAATGCAGGCTTGGTGAGCAGAAGAGAATTATTTATGTTAAAATTAAAAATGTTACTGTTCAAAAACTTTTAACTGGTAGTGTTGATCCCTTTTTGATTGAATAAACTGAAGTATAAATCACCTCTATATGCAGAAGTGATTTATTAACACTAAACTATTAAAATGGAACGGATGTGATAAATAACACCTGTCACGTTTTAAATAAGACATTCACGACGCCCTAAATCGATTAGCGGCACTTGCCATGGTGACCTCGCCCTACGGCGCTCTTCTTCGAGTATGATTGGAGAAACTCGCTGTCAGTCAAAGGTACGCGCCTCTGATTGGTCAATGTGAGCGGATGTTTTCTTCACGGCTCTGGTTTACGGCAAACACCTGCGAGAGAAGCGCGTCTGATTATCTGCGCGAACAAACGAGAAATCAGGTAGAAATCATACAGTTTACTGATCATTTATACATGTATTCAATACTGTTGTTTTGTTATATGTTATAGCATGTGGTGCACTTGTGTGTTTAAGTGAAACACATCGCCTTTTATGACACAGATGCTTCTGGAAGAGTTAAAGCCATCATAGCACCACTGCGATTAAAATGATAACAATAAACAGATCATCAGACATTATTTTAATATTAATTATATGAAGCAGATCAAAATAATTATGATGACATAAAGAGGTCATTGACAGAATGCAATATATACAGAATATATATATATATATATACAGAATGAAGCATATAGTCCTGAGAGTGTGCTACTTATGTTTTGTGCTCCAGGGTCACATATGATAGTCTATATGTGCTTCAAACAGTGTATATGCAATCTATGTGTCACATATCATCTATATATGCTTAATTTTTAACTCTCTCTGCACTTCATATCTCACAATCCAAATGCATCTCATATATCACATACAGTCCATATGTGCTTATGTATAGCTGCTTGGAGAATCTATATGCAGAATCCGAATATACAGAATCTGTATGCGCTTCATTTACCTTACACAACCTCTATGCCTTTAATTCACTCCGTAAACAGTCTAATATGTATTTAATACCACTTATATATGTCCTGGATATTATATAGTTTGTGCTTCATTTATCACAGTCTTCGTGTTTATTGTATTATTACTGTCTACATGCATGTGTTGCAGAGTCTATTTATGCTTACGACATTGTCCACTTTGCATAAAAACATCTATTAAATGACTAATTAGTAATTTTTATGTTATTCACATTTGCTAAACTGTCACATGTGCTATTATTTCTACACATCTGTGCCCTAATAAGTCATGCATAGTTGAATCTCAATGTAAATGATGCACAAGAGGGTGTAACCAGTTCAGTCTCTCTAGATCTGTCATGATTATGCTAGTCTTCATCTGGGGTCATGTTAGGTTGAGTTTAACAACAGCCTCTCTGTTAAAGGCCAGCTGCCTGGAGACACAGCGCTTGGTTTGTTTTGAATGGGATTTGGAGTTTATTCTTTTATTACTGGTTTTGGATGCAGATTTATGAATGGTTAATATTAGTGTGAGGTCTAGTAAAACATGAAATGGCCCGAATTGAATGAAAAACTATTTAGTTTACTCAGCTTCAAGTTGTTCCAACCTGTATATATTTCTTTCTTCTGCTGGACACAAAAGAAGATATTTTGAAGCAGGCGGGTAACCAAAGAGATTCTGGCTCCCATTTTTCCCATACTTCAGAAGTCAGTGGGGACCAGCAACTGTGTGGTTACCAACATTCTTCAAAATATCTTCTGTTATGTTTTAGTAAATTAAAAAAATAATATTAATTGAAATAAGTAATTAAATATATATTAGATAAATCTAAATAATTTATGAATACTATATTTATAATGAATAGATTCATTAAATAAAAAAGAATAATAATTTAAATGGTATAATTTGACTGGTCATGCACAAACACACAGCTCAGCGCTAGCATGAATGTCTCGAGTGTGTAAAGCTCACATGTCCACCATACTCTTAACTAGCTCATATTTTAATGGAGTGCAGAGGTAGGAGCTTATTAGGCCACTCCCTCTTTTCCACTCCGCCTACTCATAATTGTGTTTTTGGTCAGTGTAAAACACTGTCTGCAGGAGTGTGTGTGTGTGTGTGTGTGTGTGTGTGTGGGTGTGTGTGTTTGGGTGGTTGTTGAAGTGTGTGAGTGTGTTTGGGTGGTTGTTGAAGTGTGTGTGTGTGTGTGTGTGGGTGTGTGTGTTTGGGTGGTTGTTGAAGTGTGTGAGTGTGTTTGGGTGGTTGTTGAAGTGTGTGAGTGTGTTTGGGTGGTTGTTGAAGGAGGCAGCAGGTGTGCTTTGTGTTGTGTTGGTCTTAACCGTGTGTCAGTCAGGAGGACACGATTGGAGACCTGAAGAAGCTGATCGCAGCACAGACCGGCACACGGTGGGACAAGATCGTGCTCAAGAAATGGTGAGAAGAAATGCTGAGCAGAAGAGTGGAGAACACAGCAGTCGAGCATGATTATAATGTGACGTGTTTATGTGCAGGTACACCGTATTCAAGGACCACGTGTCACTGGGAGACTGTATCCTTCACACGCAACATGAAAATGTGCTCATCCTCAGGTCATCCGAGATGTAGATGAGTTTGTTTCTTCATCAGATTTGGAGAAACTTAGCATTACAGTGAATGGGTGCCGTCAGAATGAGAGTCCAAAACAGCTGATAAAAACATCACAATAATCCACAGCACTCCAGTCCATCAGTTAACATCTGGAGAAGACAAAAGCTGAAACAAATCCAGCATTAAGACGTTTTCAACTAAAATACATGTCCATAATAACGCTTCCTCCAGTGAAAACTGTCATCTCTCGCATCAAAATCCAGCCACATATTTGTTTAGAGCTGTGCTTGATCTGTGCAGATTTCTCTCCTGATTCACACCAGAACACTTTTTCACTGGAGGAAGAGTTATTATGGATTATAGACTCTATGGTATTTTAGTTGAAAACGTCTTAATGCTGGATTTGTTTCAGCTTTTGTCTTCTCCAGATGTTAAGTGATGGACTGGAGTGCTGTGGATATGTTTTATGTTTTTATCAGCTGTTTGGACTCTCAAACTCATCTTCATTTTGTATGACATGCAAATGTTTTTTTTTTTTTGGCTGAACTATTCCTTTAATTAACCTCAAACCTGTACAAACAGTGTCTGTGATGCAAAAAAGCATTTCATTGCTTAGTTATTATATATATCAGTAACCCTTCGAAATAAGGTCTAAATAACAGTTAATGAGAAACACTTGTTACCATATTTATTAATGTTTGCTAGCATTAGTTAATTAAAATACAAGAGTTCATTGTTAGTTCATGTTAGCTCGGGTCCATTCAATAACATTAACAGATACAGCTTCTGATTTTAATAGTGTATCAGTTCAAACTAACATAATTGAGATTAATCAATGCTGACTAAAGAAATAATGAACTGAAGCAGGTAACAAATGAAACCTTATTGTAAAAGTGTTACCAGTGTTATATCACATGAGTTAGTTCCTGATGTCTTGTGCTCGTGTTGAGTAAAACCGTCCCATAAGTCTGTGCGAAACATTCAGTGTATCCATTAAGAGTGTTTTTGGAGACATTTGTGCATTTATATGCGTAATCGTTCATATCCTTGACTCTGAGCATCAGATGAAATCCATGACGGCATGAACCTCGAGCTCTATTACCAGCACACACAGCAACACATTACCCCACTCACTCACTCACTCACTCACTCACTCACTCACTCACACACACACACAGCAACACATTACACCACTAACACACACTCACTCACCCACCTTACACCACTAACACACACACTCACCCACCCACTCACTCACTCACTCACTCACTCACTCACACACACACACACAGCAACACATTACACCACGCGCACACACACACACACACTCACACACACACAGCAACACATTACACCACTAACACTCACACACAGCGAGTTGCTTTCATCATGTCTCGAGGCATCAGAATATGTGTTCAGTTGAATTGTTTTGATATTGTTTGGAAATAAAACTCGTATTTATGTACAGTCAAGTCTCTGTGTTTGTTGAACAGAACAATGCTTTTCAAACCACTTTAATCAGAATCTCAAGAAAAAACAGCTCATTACATCCATACTGACGAGCTCTTCTGAACCCGTCCAACCGTTAATAGTAATCTGAATGAAATCACTCCGAGCTGGAGTCTACAGTGAAAGGATGAAATCATTCAGTTTGTCTAGTGAAGAACGCTCTGTATGTACAGGCCAGCAAACCCCGCTGATGCAGACGCTTGACTGGATTCACAGGTGAGACTGTAAACAGAGTATCGGCGTACAAGTGTGCTGTTGGGGTGATGAAGCTGTTGATTGGTCAGCAGTAATCTGAATGCTCCTCCTCCACGTAATTAGCAGGAAACAGACCCACCTACAGGAGAACGGCATACTGTCGGTACTGATTCATCATTCATGATTCACCAAACCCCAAAGACATTATTATTCAGAAAACTCATATTGTCAATGAATAAAAAATTCAGTTTGGGTCTGAACCGCTAATAAACCATCATGTGAAATTCAGCACACAAGTTTTAACACATGAATTTTAATTGGTATGATGAAGTGATTTTTTTTTATGTTTTTCTTTTACAAAATCGGTTCCAGAGGGCAAATTCTGCCCTGTAATAAAATACAAGTAAATTTATGGTGCATTTTTTTATGGAAAAGATCTGCTGAACATATTTTGTGTTTCACACAACTCAGCGTATGTTGATTTGATGTGATTTATTTAACAGCCAGATAAATGATTTACTTGATTCAATTGAGTATTTGACAGAAATGAATGGAACACATAGTATTTATGATTATTTCTAATATGTTCTCATACAAATGCCTGTCAAAATCTATATCTATCTTGTTTAGTAAGGAAGTAAATCATTTTAAATAATTGTAGTTTTTTTTTCTAATTTTAGAAGTTTATATTAAAGGGGTCATATGATTCGTGCATAGAGAAAAGACTAAAGTCTCAGACCCAAAGAGATATTAGTCCACGCCCTCCTAAAACGTCTTGTTTAAACACGCCCCCATAAATCTACATCACTGTGTGGAAAGACTTGCATAACACCGCCCAAATGTATACGCAAAGAAATAAGGTGTAACTTTTATTCTCGCTGTAGTATTGTTGTTGTGGAGATGCTGTGAGTTTCCAAATATGGTGAGGGGCATAACATTTCTGTCACACGCTTTAGGTATTCGGCCAATCACAACGCACTGGATAGCTGTCCAATCAGAGCACAGCGCGCTTTTCAGACCGATGAGTTTTTTATTATTACCGAATGGTATCACGGTCAGTACTTTTGACAACACTACATTGCATTACACCAAATACACCAAATAATGTTGTTTTTAGCATCGTCATATGACCCCTTTAAACAAATGCCTCATAATACATAAGTGTCTGGCGCAGATTTTATGGAAAAGGTAAGTCATCCATGAGTGTGAGGAAACAATGACAAGGTGATTTTTGTGTGAACTGGGACTGTAAAGTGTGAGTGTGTGTCGTACCCTGCCGTACACCTCTCCTTTCCACCAGCCGTTGTGAGCTTTCTTGGAGAGGATTTTGACGGTGTCTCCCTCCCGCAGAGAGAGCTCGGTGCGATCACGCGCAGAGAAATCATAGCGCACTTTAGCCGTGCCGTGGTAGCGCTCGCTCACACCTGCACACACACACGCAGGGTTAAGGGGGTGTGCGTGGTGTTGGATCTGTGTTCAGGCATGTGCTGTACCTGCGTGGCGTGTGCTGCTGTGCTGTGGCGCGGCGCTCTGCTCCGGCTGCTTGTACGGCGTCTGCAGTCTGGAGTCCACGTCCTTAAAACACTCTCTCAGCGAGTTCTCCTGATAGTACTGCACCAGCTCCTGCCACACACACACACACACACACACACATCACACGTTACACACTCACAGCTTTCGTTCGCTCAAATACACATGCAGCTCATGCAGAGGGACCGTTTACCCACAAATCAACATCTGTCATCATTTACTTCATCTCATATCACTACAAACCTGCGTGACCCATTCACACCAACAACTATAACGATAACTGTTGAGAAAACTGTAACAGCTGGATGATAACTGTGAGGATAACTATAACAATAACTGTAACAATACCCACAACGAAAACTGTAATGATAACTGTAAAAATACCTACAATGTTAACTGTAACAATAACTGTAAGAACAACTATAGCAATACCTAGCAATAACTGAAACAAGTACCTGCAATGATAACTGTAATAACTGTAACAATAACTGTAAAAGTACCTGCAATGGTAACTGTAACAATAACTGTAAGAACAAATATAACAATAACTGTAACAATACCTGCAACAATGACTGAAAAGATAACTGTAACAATAACTAATGATAACTGTAACAATAAGTGTAACAATACCTGCAACGATAACTGTAATAACTGTAACAATAACTGTAAAAGTACCTGCAATGATAACTGTAACAATAACTGTAACAATACCTGAAAAGATAACTGTAACAATAACTCTAATGATAACTGTAACAATAACTGTAACAATACATGCAACGATAACTGTAGTAACTGTAACAATAACTGCAACAATAACTGAAAAGATAACTGTAACAATAACTCTAATGATAACTGTAACAATAACTGTAACAATACATGCAACGATAACTGTAGTAACTGTAACAATAACTGCAACAATAACTGAAAAGATAACTGTAACAATAACTCTAATGATAACTGTAACAATAACTGTAACAATACATGCAACGATAACTGTAGTAACTGTAACAATAACTGCAACAATAACTGAAAAGATAACTGTAACAATAACTCTAATGATAACTGCAACAATAACTGTAACAATACATGCAACGATAACTGTAATAATTGTAACAATAACTGTAAAAGTACCTGCAATGATAACTGTAACAATAACTGTAACAATACCTGAAAAGATAACTGTAACAATAACTCTAATGATAACTGTAACAATACCTGCAACGATAACTGTAATAACTGTAACAATAACTGTAAAAATGCCTACAATGATAACTGTAACAATAACTGTAAGAACAACTATAACAATAACTGTAACAATACCTGCAACAATAACTCTAATGATAACTGTTAGGACAACTGTAACAACAATAACTGTAACCACAACGTATGATAACTAATGGTAACTAACAATAACTGTAACAATAACTATAACTATGAAGCTTTATTAATTGATCAAACTACAAGAGAAAGGTGAAGTTCACAACACAACTATAACAATATCAACAGAGGATATCGCTGGAATAACTTTCAGAGTGATTTTTACAGCCAACGAACGATTAAAACATTAACAGCCAATCAGAACCCATCCAAAATGAGCCTTTAAAATGGCAGACAACAAAACTGAGTGTTATAATACACAGTGTTATAGTGTGTCTGTGTTGACACTAATGTGGTTATCATTCTTGGTATGAACCGGCTGTTTAGATATTTTGAAGAACATTAGGAACTAAACAACACTGGACAAAAAAAAAAAACACAGAACATTTCTCTAAATATCTGCTGTTACGTTCTACAGAGGAAGAAAAGTCCTGCATGTTTGGAGGGACATGAGGGAGAATAAACAGTGAGTTTATGCTCGCGGGTGTGTATGAATGAGTGATGTGTGTGTGTGTGTGTGCTCTAGAGTGTGTATGAATGAGTGATGTGTGTGTGTGTGTGTGTGTGTGTGTGTGTAATAACACTCACAAAAAGTCCCTTGAAGGCTTTTTTCTCGTTGATCCTGTAGAGTCCCTCTGAGTATGTGACCTTTATGTGTCTGGTGTCCATGTTGAACCTGAGACAGAGACAGAAAGGCGTGTCACTCGAGCTCTGTTTGATTGACAGCTGTCAGTCAGTGAGTCTGAGTGTGTTCACTGTACTTGAGACTGATGGCGAATTCTCCGGCGTCTTTCTGTCGCACCAGAAACGTCCCGTCAGAGCGAGATGTCAGCAGAGTTTTAGCAAACGGCTGAACTTTACTGCAGGGAAACCAGCCGACCTCTCCGATGGTCAGATTCCTGCCCTGAAACACACACAAACACACACACACACACACGTCAGATCTATATACATGCACTATTATATACAGTACATTCATATTTATATGGATCAACACCCCATAGCAATCTGAGTCATATCCAGGATTTAACATGACAAATAAACGGCTGAAGACATGCGGAAAGGAGAAGGAGAAAGTGCAGATGCACGGAGGTTTCTCTTCTCCATTATAAACACAGATCAGAAGTCCTGCTGTAACCAAACTCACACACAAGGGAATCGAAACCGAAAGAGACTCGCTCTTCTCTTCATGCACTCATATTATCATAGTATCTACGCTTTGATGTGTTAGATGCCGTCCATCTTTTGTTTACTGCGCTGCATCATTAAAAACACGCTGAATTCTCTCCAGTAAATGTTAACCAACCCGAACCTTGCATTATTTTGTTTATATATATATATATTATATACACTAAATACATTTCTGTCAGGACCACTATCGTCAAAGTGATAGACACTTAGCATACAGTTTGGATTGGCGGTATGGTTCTGTTTTGGGCAAAACTCCCTGCGCATCCATGCAGCCTGTCATGAATGAGCAGGGAGAGCAGAAATAATAACCCCCATAGGGTAAACAGAACAGAATCTTAATGGTATTTAAGTTTAACAACATTATTCAAGATAAAGGAGTCTGATTCAACGAGGAATATCAAAAAGCCAAGTCCTGACTGTGGCAAATGGAGGAGCTGGGGATGGAGGAGGGTAATTTGCTCCTTAAAGCTGCTGAATAATACTGAATAGACCTTATATAGGAATGCTGTGATAGGCGTCATATTTCCATAGGTAGATGTGATCTGCTGAGAGTCAGCTGATGCAAGCTTGACTCACGTGGCCTGCCAGAACTAACGCTATACGCGTGATATCAGAAATCTATCTTTTATGCTGATATTCAGCTGCTCAGATGTTGGCTACTTCACAGATGAAATGGCGTCATTATGTTAACAGGGCTCGTTGAGGAGTTCTGCTGTGTCCAGAAACGCTCCTGTACCTGTGTGTGTGTGTGTGTGTGTGAGAGAGTGTGTGTGTGTGTGTGTGTTTTATTCTGAAACAACATGAAAATAAACTTCATTATATTATATTATATTATATTATATTATATTATATTATATTATATTATATTATATTATATTATATTATATTATATTATATTATATTATATTATATTATATTATATTATATTATATTATATTATATTATATTATATTATATTATATTATATTATATTATATTATATTATATTATATTATATTATATTATATTATATTATATTATATTATATTATATTATATTAATTATATTATATTATATTATATCATATCAGGGTTCCTCAATAGGCGGCCCGCGTGCTACATCTGGCCAGGGAGAGAAAAATGTTTGGCCTGCGGTAATTTCAAATAATGTGGCATGAAAATTCAAACGCAGCATCAGAAAGCGACATTAACTTGCATTGTGTCTACACCGGATGCGAATGGCGCGGCGCGACAAAATACTATAGAACCCATTATAATCAGTGATGCTGTGTACACTCGACAGTAAACTGATGCCTCGTTCTATTTATGACGGACTGACACAAAGTTCAAATGGTACGTCTGCAAGAGGTCTGTTAAAGATCTCTTGATCTGGAAAGCATCTGCTGTGTAAACATCTTTCAGATGTCAGTTTTACATACTTTCTAAATCCTAACCATCTTAAAGACATCTGATAAACGTCTATTTGACATCTGATAGGAAACGTCCAATAGACGTATTGCAGATGAGCAAACACTCTAAAAATTACATCTTGCAGATGTAAAGCAGACGTCAAATAGACGTCTCCGTGATGTGCGTGTGCTATCAGGGTGGCGAGTGTGAAGAAAAGTGGACACAGAAAATAGACCATTCAAATGTGAATGGACTGAACAGTTTTGAGTGAGTGAGTGAGTGAGTGAGTGATATCTTTGTTATGGAATACACTCGTTGGTTCTCAGTGAGTTCACAGTTTCAACGTACTAGTTTGATTTAATTTATTTTCAAGATCTGAGGTAAAACTTCTATTGTTGCTTTCACTATGGCTATAAAGATCACGCAAAATAATATTAAAACTCACATTAGACACTTTTAACATTGAATAAAGCATCCCATGTCGCTTATTGTCACGTGTCGCTGTCGCGGGTGGTTAGGACAAAAACTACATGGAAAAGATACTTTTTATCGTGTCGCGTCTGGTTGGGACAAACAGTGTCACAGTTTGATCCCCCCCAAACAAATATTAAAGCTGACAGATCTAATAATTGAATCTGCAATTAGGGAAAGTGGAGAGAAGA